CGGGTCTACGTTCCAGATGCCCAAAGGTCCACCGTTTCCCAACGCTTCGTCCTCATGCAGGCGCTCAACCGGTCCGCCAACTTCGCCGCCACCACTGGCCGCAAATTCGGCGACGCTGTCGTGAGCCTATTTTTTAATTCTCTTTTTTTCTTTCTTTTTTTCTCGCGGGTATTGCCATATCAGCTACACTTTATTTGTATTTAAAAAATATATATATATTTATTTTGTATCTGAAGATTTTTTTCTAGTTTTCACCCCATCGCAGTATCTTCTGTGAATGGTTTGTGCTTATTGATTTCACCGGATACTCGTGCGTGTGGGGAAATGAGGTCTACATCACTGGCTCGTTTTTCCCATCCATCCAGAGAATATATACCACAGCTCTGTTACTTCCTTACGTAGGAGAATATCGCGTAGTTTTCCATTTAATGGAGAGATTTTGACTCGAAATTCGCAAGTTTTCTGTGTTTTGGTGCCAAATCTTCCCTGAAAACATTCCGCATGGTTCTTGTCGATCCCGTCAGTTTTTACATTATTGTTGCGGGTGCGGCATACAAACGCAGATATACCGTATACGAGGAGTCTAACGAAAGTTCTCGGAATAAAAATGTAAATAGCATACGGTTGAGCTGAATACAAAATTCTTGTTCATGGGAAGTATTCTTTGGTATAGTATTTCTTTGGAAAAAAACATTCAGCCGTTTTCGACAGATTTTGCGGGAATTTTTTGCTTAAGTCGCCCTGGCAGCTTCCTACTCTTTACTCGATAGAAGAGGCGCCTTGTTCGCAGATCTTTTATTGTGTCAAAGTTTTTTTTCACTGAAAATTAATTTGCAAAAAATTACTGATCAATGCCGTTTCTATTTTTATTCCGAGAAATTTTCTTGGACCCCTCGTCCGGTATTTGGAGTATTCCAGACTATCCAGAGTCAGTTGATACAGATATTACCCTGTTGGTGGCATTATATAAGGGAAGGCGATAGAACATCGAACATTCAGTTGTCATTTTGTTTTTCAGAATTTCAATTCGATCAGAATAAATTACCGTAAGTGGCACGACCAAGTTTCCTTTGCGCCAAAACCCGCTGCTTGAACAGCATTTCGTAGGAGAAGTTGTGTAAAATTATGGTAAATGTTTTAAGACTCAAGAATTTACGTTGAAAAAGATGCTGTTCTTTACTGTATCTTTATTTTTTTTCAAGAGCAATTTTTTCAGGCAACATTTATGATAGCGTTTTTTCATTTTTTGAAGTTTGAGGGTATGATGATGGTTTCAAAGCCAATTTTTTTTTAAAGTTAATTTTCAGATTTTTGGTTTTTTGTATTATTTGATCATATGATTTGAAGGTTTTGAATATTACGGTCCAACAGTTAGTTGTTGTAAATGTAGCTTGTAATATGCCAAGACAGTTCAGCAAGTCTCAAAGTAGCAGGTATACGTTTAACTGAAAAGTTGAACTAAAATTAAAGTTATCGACCATACGATCACTGTCAGTGTATATCCCAGAGGAATAGGAATAAATTACTAATCAAACAGATTGATAAATCAACCATGACGTGTAAAAATGCGCGCTGAAAATAGTTCACTTTTTTATACAGCATTATTCATTGAAATGCGTTGTTCAGAATAAGCGTTTCATGCTAATTTTCTTTTTAAACTAACCACGATGCGTCATTGTATCGCGGTTCACATCGGCGTGATTGCTATTTTAAAATTATCCCTTGCATAACTAAGAGCTCTGAATGAGCTCTACCATTGCAAATACGTATTCTCTTCGTTTTTGTTGTTGTTTTCAATTAAAAATTGACGCATATCAGTCAAGTTTGCATGCGAATAACTTTTCGTGGTTACTATCTGCTGGAGCCCGAATTATTCAAGATCAAATTCAAAATCACACGCGGTAAGGAATGTGGAAGGTAGACTCTCGTTGATACTGTAAGGTTCTTGTTTTGATTTTACTTACCACGAACCCGTACCACGAGCGCGTAACAATTCTCACGCAATTCCAGTGGTCTATAAATTGTTGATTTGACCCGTTTCTTCGACTGCAGTGACTTCTCGAGTTATGCAATAGGAATTGCTTCGTTCGAAATCCCCAACTGGTGGCTTCGAAAGCGTTCTACAATTTCACGCTGAACTTTGTATTCGCAGTCAAAGTTCATGGGTTACCGGGATTTCGAGCAGTGGACGAGCAACTGGGGAGACACTGCACATCTGCCATGCTTGCCATCCCCCGACAGTGACAAGTATCTGGATAACTTCCGACACATTTCCCGAACGGGGGAATTGAAGGTTCGTGTTGAGTAAAAAATATCTTCATCCTCTCTTCGATTATTGGACGGTGGCCCTCGTTCGGTTCTTTGTATAAAGCCGATGCCAAAGAAGAGAGTGCCTGCATTTTTTTTCAATGCTTTCATGGTACGGCAGATTTATGCCATGAAAATCACTTCGTTCTGCTTTTCAAGCAGAAACGCGTGAGATACTTAATTTCATTGGCCCATTAACTTGCAATGATGATTTGCTCATTCTGATGATTGGAAGGAATGACTGTGAAAATCAAAAAGTTTTTTCCTTTCATAGATCGAATACCTATTCCCGAATGAAGTTCTGCTTTTATTGATAATCACGCGAGGTTTTCCGCGTATAAATCTATGTTCAATAGAACGAGGTGTTAGCTTTTATATTTACGCAGAAATAAAACTAATTATGCAGGTACAGTGATGTACTATATTTTACCTCCGTACCTTTGCCATTATAAAAGCGCATCGAATATCGTCGGGTTTTGGGCCCTACCCGGGCCTAAAAAGGAGCTCGAAATTAATTTAGACTCTTTGAAAGTCTCAAGCTTAATTCAATGCCCTCCGTGAATGATTGTTAATATATTAATATACAACGCGGAGTTTTGCTCCTCCTGGACATATCGAGTTTTGGGTCCGCTCCAGAAGACTTCTGAAACTCTTGTCAATGGTTTACCCTTGAATGTAATGTAGTATATTCCTTCCCTGTTCCTTGGTTCAAATGCTTCCGTTTTCCGTTCGTTGACTGTAAGATAACTTCCGGGCGTTGCATCGGTCTCCCAGAAAAAGCTTCCGGTTGCCGAGAGACGATAAGCGAAGTCAGAGAGTTCAGCATTTCCAGCGGAAGAACGAAAAAAGACGGAATAAAGAGTATCTTACTGTGTGTATGTATGTCGTTGTGTTTGAATAGAATAATATATTTCCAATTCGATGTGACTGGAAATTCCGCACACGATAAAATTATGTCATGCGTCACTGGGTCCAAGTGGCACACTGGATGCATGGGTCAATGGATCCATGTGTCACTAAATCCCTGGGTCATTGGATCCACGTGTCATTAAATATCCGGTTCAAAAGATCTAATTGAGGAGCTCTTCTTTGGAATTTGGCAGGAATTCCCGGACTCTTCTTGGATCCAATTTTCTTTCTGAACTATCGCAACTTAGCACGCTAGACGTTCTTGTGTGAACGAATCCCACCACAGATTTAAAAATAAATAAAAAATTTTCGGAGGTTAGACTGTTTTAATAGTACAACAGGCATTAGAATTGTCTTCCCCGTGAAAAGAAGCCAATATTTGTCAAGCCGATGTCCTTGCAAACATGTTCTGCGGACTGCATTATCATCAATGCCAGGAAATATTGAATGTTTTATTTATTTATTTTGCTGATTTAATCGATCATCTTTTGGCAACCCTTCGTTTCGAATAAATCCATATTCCGACGTCCTTGGTAGGCATTATTCGCAACGTTCTCAAATGCGGATTTTTTTTCCGTTCGGAATTTATTCGGTTTGGTGAGTTTCTGGCGTCGTAGCCCTTGCAGGTTACGAGGAATTTTTTGTCCGTAGTTTCTCGGAGAAGGAAAAAATATTCTCAGGAAGTGTATTGCATTTTTAGAATAACCTTCTCTCGAGTCGAAGATATTTTCTTTTTTCAGTTTTTTTTTTTTTAACCGCAGTACTCTTTTCTCATTTCAGAGTCTTGCGATGTTTTGGCACGGGAACTTGCAGTCCTACTTCCTGTTCTTCACAATGGCTGGAATGCATCGTGACACAGCTTCCGAGTTCACCGAAGATGCCCGAGAATACTCGTGTCGATTGTATGATGTGAGTATACCGTATTCAAAGATTTATTTCTGCTCATTTGTTCAAGTCGAAAGGGAATTCTAGAAAATTGTATTGTTGATCTGGAATCCATTTCCGAAAATGTTATTGAACAAAATTGGTGTAATTTAATCCAGCTCGTTAGAATCAATTTATAATGTTTTCGCCAAAATTTCTGTGCGGTACAGTATATAATTTGATGGGAAGTTCGTATAGTGGAGTGACTCGTAATCTAGGGAAAGTTTTCTGAGTTATCTTTGCATCCTGATATTGATAGTTGAATTACTTGATGAAACATGTAAGAGATTATGGTGCCTTAATGGATCAACTCTTGTTGCAAGAATAATTGCAGAAAATTGATATTCTGAACCTTTAATTGCATTTTAAAGTTGACAAAATGGCGAATTTGGTGGCAAGGGTTAATTTTGCCCAATTAATCGTTCACCTCCTTTCGGAGCACGTTAAAGTTACATTTTTTTATCTCTTACTTGTATTAATACGAATAATAGCCAAAAGGCCTCCAGAAAATTCGAGTTTGGGGGGATGCCTTCAAGGTAGGGCGTTTTTTAATGCATTCTTTTTTTTAAGGAAATGTTGTAAAGGACTTGAAAAATATTTGACTTCGCGAGGTTTGAGTTATCGAGGTTCAACTGAATCGAAATTTTTCGTTATGAGACTCTACTGTATACAGTATAATACAATATTCTTTTCTGTCTTCTCAGTCTGGCACATTTTTCCTCCTGAAGGAAGCATATGGGTTTACGGATAACGAAGCAAGTTGGTTCTTGATTTGGCTTGACTCAAAGATAAGACAGCTCATTTATTTTTCACGCCCGAACCAGCTGATGTTCTTTTGAAACTCCGTGTTCTCATTCATATGTTGTGAATGACTTCGAAAATGTGATCCTCGAAACTTAGAAAGAATGCCTTTTGTATTTCCAGTAAAGTTATATTTTTTTTTTAATCCCCGCGTGGTTTTCTGGCGATGGAATGTACTCCCCATAACTCCATACGAAGCAAATTTTGAGCGATTTTCCTGCGTTGCCAGTAAATGGAGACAACGTGAAGAACGAATTGTGTAGTTTTTAAGGTCTTTCACTTCCCGAGCGTTTGCGAGAGCTATAATGTAGCTCTTGTGATCTAGTCCAATGTGTTGCACTTCTTGATCACAGAAAAAATTCCAAGTGCATGCTTATAAATCTTTACAATTTTTGAATTAATTTATTGTCGTCAAATTAATTCTCCGGGCAATCATTCGCTATATTTTCTCAGCTTTCTGTTGCTCACATTTTCTCACGTTTTTCGCTCATGACCACCTTTTTTGACTTAAAAAAAAAAAAACAGAGTGAACTGGTGACGGGGTTGTAGAAAACCATCTTTTCAGTTTTTTGTTGGATGCACGAGCTGCGAGACATTCTCACAATTATCACGATACCATTTCTTAAACATTGCGTTTTGCATTGGAAGCTTTGGGTTGGTCATGGTATAAATAATTTGCCAAATCGTCTGACAAATAGACAGCAGCAAAATAATATTCGAAGCAAAGAATTGAGGTTCTTCTCTCCTCTTTGTTTCTCAAATTTTTCTGGTTTGAGGACAGAAACCAGAAAAATTGCGGGTTTCAAGCTATCTCGTCATCCTAGAAAGACAAATGAATTACTTTTACCCCTTTTCTGAAAGCTTTTCAATTCATGGATTGAAAATGAATTTTCAACTTTTAAAAATAATAACCCAAAAATTGATCAAACCGTTTGGTCATCAAGCCGAAATAACGAATCCCGTGCTGTATACGGGAATATAATTTCCAGATTCTAAAAAATAATCTGCAATTGCCACCATAACCTACGCTTAACGTCTGCTGTCTCGATCATCAGCCAATACGCAACAGGATTTTATTTCACCAAATGGTGGCCCAAACGGAGGAGGGAAGCTGATGCACATTGCCTCAACATGTCCACCATTTTTTCCTTCCTCGCAAAATTTGTACATAGGCTGATTTAATAAGGGGCTTGATCTGGAGCGTGCACGTGCACAGCGGTAGCATGTTTGATTTTCAATTCTTTTCTTTTTTTAATTCATTCCGGACATGGTTCCATGATTGGAGCTCGTGGGTTGGGCGGAAGAGCATCAAAGGGGGCGGAATCCCGAGGAGGGGGGGGGGGAGGGGGAGGAAGTGAGCCGCAGCAGATTCCCGGTGATGTCTTCGGATGCGGGCTTTTTTCGGCCCGCCTCCGGAACGTTGCAGCGAATCACGTCACCTTTTCTCACCAGCCGTCCTCATCCGCGTTCGTCCCTCTTATCTTTCGTCCTCGGAGTCTTCCTTCCTTCTGATGAAGGATCTTCATTAAACTTCCTTCCACATTGAGCACGTGGTTTTTGGAAGGCCAATGGATTATGCGATCGTGTGGGGAAACAAAAGAAAAACCCAACAACGACTCCACTCATGATTTCATGAATGTTTGTTTTTCAGTTCCTGGCTTCAAAATTATCCCTCGCTTCTCGTGAAATCCTTGAGATCTTCCGCTCGGGTCGCACGAAAACAAATAACTAGGTTTCTTGAAAACTTCTGTTATTGTGCCGAGTCTTCAAGTCTTTTTATAGCTGACTCACTGTGTAGTACTACACATTTAGTTTAAAGCCGAGGCTCGTCATGCAGTATATTCTGCGTTACATGGGTGGGAGCTTATACCTGGCTTAATTTGTCTATTCCAGTAATCTTGCAATAATACAAGTTTTACCGGACTTTTTCCAACAACAAAGTAAAAAGAAAATGTATGCGGTGTTCAGAAGTTTGATTATAGGCTGACCCACAGTTTCATCTGCAGTATTTTCAGTTTATATACGCTCAGGTGTGCGTATTCTTTTAAAGTTTTAATACAGTAGTTTGGGATCGTAGACTAAGAAAATGATGTCGGAAAGTTCTAAACCCGAGACGATTCCAATTTGAAATCAATTGAAGAATGCGCTATCGAATATTGCTGGGTATCTCGATTTTATCTATGAAACTTCATATTTCTTCCCAAAACTTTTTCTCCGCATGTACAATTTTACGCCATTTAAATCGCTACTCAAATCTGTCAATAAGTTGTCTTAGTCACGGGTCAAGTTGTAATTTTCTGGCGTTTGATTGACTTTAATTAGGGTAGATCAGTTTCGTGGGAAATTCGGGCTTTATAGAACAAGGTCGATATAAAGCTTTAATCAGGAAGCAGAAATGTATTTCACTCCTCAAAATGGCCGTGTGCTCTTGATTACTTGAACCAAAAATATTGTTTCCTCGTAGATTTATTTTTCACGTTTTATTTGTTTGAAATGCAGACCTGTCTTTGCCTGCACTGCTGAAATAGACGGGATTACTTTCGATTCCCTTCTGTGGAAGGAGTTGGAATTGCAAGGAAACTCGAGAAGTTGGAAAGTCATACCGTATACTTTTAAATCGTATACATATTTTACTTGTAAGTTGGCAGACTGTAAGGATACACTGTAATTCGGTGTAGTGATTGTTGTACTTGTCGATGTGATAAACTTTGAGGGAGCACACGAGCAGAGTTCAAAGGGATTGAGAAACTGGTGGCAAAACTGGTCGCGATTATCGTGTAATCGAGACCTTTGTCCCAATACTTCCTCTAACATATTTTCCGAAATAATTGGTGTGTTGGCACCGCCTCGTTGGACGTTTCAAGGGAATAGATTCTTTTGACTGTCGTCAAGCGGCGATTTTCTTTTTATGCGCCCCGTTTCTTTTTCCCCCCACTGCATATGATGCCGTTGGTGTACAAAAATAGTTTCCGACTCCGGATACAAAATTCAAATCAGCCCGATGAACGGAATGAATGCATATCTTTTAGATGCGGTCTGGAGGAAATGTCCATGAGAAAAGCTTCAGTTTAGTTCCCTTGAATCTATTTTTATTTACGCTGCTCTGGAGACAGATCAGCTATACTGTGCTGTGCTGTAGTTCCAAATGAGATAATCACAATAATCATTTTTTTTTTTACCTCGTGATCGTGATTCAAAAGTTAGTTTAATGCGAAGATCCTTGTCTGATTATTTCTTCCGAGTCATTTTCGTATAGTATACTGTACAGTATGATTTTATCTCGTTGTTTCCTTATGTCAGTTCTTCCCACAAATTTTCCTTCAATATTTTTATTCTCTTGGGTTGTTCCATTTCTTTTGCGTAACATTGCTTGTCCGTAAATGCCTAGATTCAGTTTTCTCAACGGCGTTTTCTCACGTCTTCTGCCGAAAATAAGAGAGAAAATCTCTGAGAACTTCCGGGAAATCTTGGCTCAATCGAATCGATCGCGGACAGTTTTCTAAAGCGATTCCGAATTACTCAACTCTGAAAAGGTTTAGGTAATTTTTTTTTCATGCCCCGGTGATCTCACTGAAGAGCATAGCATGTTCGGTGGGAAAAAAGGGGATACTAATCAGTCGCTGTAATCAACAAGTTGGCTCTTATGCTTCTTCCGCAATCGCGGCGTTTGAAGGTCTCCCGGTGGGGTTTTTTTTTATATTTTGGTTGAAAAAACAAGTAACCCACGGCCCGTTGTAATTAACATTTGTGACCGCACCGAATCGGGACAGACGCTTTGAGATTCAATCGGGGCGATATGAAGCGCAGATTTATTCAATCGACACCATCATCGGCATTTCCTGGTTGCGATAACGACGATCGGTGAGTTACGTATTGCTCGGTTGCGACCAACGGTTGATTCTTATCCCTTCGGATTACTTCATTCAGGCAGCTTGTGACTCGGGACATTATTTTCCGCATACAAATACAGACGGGATTCGGGGTGCGAATTAGCATACTGAACCCAAGTCTACGCGTGTGTTGTGTTTCCGTCGAATGGTGTCCAAAAATTGACCGAGATCTGAGAGAGTTTTGCCTGCTTGGTTGATTATTATGGCCAAAAATGGAAGGTTATGTTACTGTTGTGCTTGTTTTGTTTCGGGCTTGAGACTTTCACGGAAGCTTTCGGGGACTTGATGGTTGATAATCCATGCGAAAACAGAATGTTTTTGTTTTTTTTGAGAGAGAATCGGGAGTAAGTGGAAAAATTGCCCTCTTGAGGCCTTGTGGCGCATTTGTCCTTCTCGAAATGTTTCCTTTCTTGAGGCTTGCGAATCTGGGAAATATGAAAGATAAAATTCACAAAACAGCGAAGATCGTCCGTCGAATTGAGAAAGACCATTCACGAAAAAAAACACATTTTATTTCCTCTTGGATCAACAATGAATGAATCACACTTGAAAATGTCTTGAGAATGTGCTGCGATGTTTGGGTGATAAGGAAAGCCTTAGGCTGTGACTTTCGTTCCCCGAATAAATTATTTTAGGAAACCCACCTCGAAAGTACGAATGCCAGAGTTTTCGCAATTTTTACTGTCCATTTTTTTGCACAAAGACCATTAGTGAAAACCAGTGCTTTTTTTTTTACAAAAGTAATGGATAATTTTTCAAGCTGTTTAATCAACCCATCTCGTAAAGTTTAGTTTTAGGGGTGGATCAAGAACAGCAGTGCCCTTAATCTGACACTTGCCTCGATTAACTAACCGTTAAAAGTCTAGAATGCTCGACTGTCTTTCTTTTCGGGGCTGAATTCAAAAAATGCGCTGCAAAATTTTAAGGCAGAAAAATTTAGAGCTGTGTATATGAAGGTTATTGTGCAGTTCGACGTTTCATGGTTGAATTGCACTGCGTCAAATTTGCGTTTATTCCCTGCCTGACTTCCCCTGAGAACGATGTACTCGAAGACATTCCTCCGTAAACCCTTATAACTAAAATTTTAAGAGGCCTTCGGGCTATTATCCTGGGGTCCCAGGAAGCATAAGAACAATACAAAAGTCATTATCTCGATTCTTCTCAAGTTGGAAGTGAGGGACTAATTGGACATATGTACCCTTGCCTCCAAGTTCAGTGTTCTGTTATTCTAGACCATGTCGCGAAGGCAAAATACAAAAAAAACAAAAACAAAATGAAATGTGAAAGACATGGAAAACGAGATTGAAGAGGAGGAAATGATCATCTTTGCAGGTGCTGGATATGGTTCGGAACCTGCTGGTGCAGATGGAGATGAAGACCGAGTTCAAGCTCCTGCAGCCCCCGCCGAGCGAGTGCATGCAATCGGCGTGCAAATTCAACGTGGATCCCTTCCACCGCCTCGCCATTTCACTGCGGGACTCTGTGAGTCTCCTGAGCGACGTGCGGCGCCGAATTGACGACTTCCGGCTCTACTATGACGACGACCGTGATGCATCCACCGACACCACTCGGAGTTGACGGGGTTCCTCTCGATTGGTTTTTCTTTTCTTGTGGCGACACTTCTGCAACGAGGTAAAAAAAAAAAAAAAAAGGAAGAGCTGATGAATGGACGGAGGGATGAATTTGCTCGGAACTGAAGCAGAGGACCGAGTTTCGGTCCACAGCACTTGAGAGGACGTTTGAAATAAGGGACGTCCATTTTGAAACTCGCTTGAAATTAAAGTTCCGGGAAACGATGCATTTTAGGCAGTGATCGGATAGTTCTTTTCGTAATCGTCCCGAAAAGAACTTCAGCGCAGAAAAAAATCCGAGACTTGAAATGGGAAAAATTGGATTTTCAGTTCACAAAACAGAAATTGCGTTCTTTTCACGATAAATGGGTATTTATTGAGGACCGAAAATGTTTCATTTGTCTTCTGACAACAAGCGTGAGGATTGTTGAGAAAAGGTTCGCCATCTTGAGGCTTTGTATCTGTGAACTTTTCATTTTTTGGAGAAATGCCTTCTTGTTTTTTTTTCTTCAACTGGGATTTTTAAAATACTGTGTTTATGACCTTTATGTGGATCACTGCATCCGTGGCAATATTTCTGTGTGGCTGGCCATAAGCAAAGTGACGAGGTCAAATTCACAGTTTTCCAACCCGAAAAGCTAGGATTGGAGCAAGTTTATCTTCTTGAGTCGAATTAACTTTCATGACTTGATAATCTTGCGCAAAAGAAGTTGCCATCATGGCCTGAGTTTCCTTGGTTATTGATGGATGGGCTGATTATTTTTTTGTTGATAGTTTTGTACAAGACAGATGGACGAATCTTTGCTTTTCCAATTTAGTCTTGCTCTTGGTGTGTGCATCATCTGTGGGAAGCTGCGTTTCTCGCTCCGCATGTTATCCAGTATTGTAAAAAAAAAATTCAACATAGACTTCATGTGGGCTCATAGTTACATTACTATGATACTATGAACGTGTCGTGATCTCTGTTGCGTTGTCTGCTTCTTTTATATCACGCAAGCAGCGATTGATGAATTCAGTCCCATTTTATCCACAATTCAACTCTTGAGTTTTGATTTCATTTGATGGGGAAGACGATCGACAAAAGATAAGACAATTGTGTGCCATTGTGACTGACAAGAAGTTGTGAGGCAATTTATTTCATTTTATTTTGTGGCATTTGATGCTTGCGAGACGTCACATTTTTGTTCATGTGCATGTTTTAGTTACCTGAACAACGAGTCAAATAGAGAGGCGACGGATTAGTTTTTTTTTTTTTTTTTGCTCAAGAAGTGTGAAGAGGTGCATGGATTTTATTTTCATTTGACGAAGAGAACATGCAAGAACTGAGCTATGAAACTCGTTGAAAAAAACTATTATTTTTTTTCTTTGGTTTGACGCCTTCGCTACGTATTTTATGCTGTGATGATGATTGCGGACCCGAATTTTCGACTTTCGATGGAGAAAAGGTTCCTGATTTTTCGCCTCGTCGCGATGGACCTGTACTCGGATATTCGGAATGAAAATGAAAAGTCCGCTGAAAAGCCAGAAAACATTGGAAGTGTATTTTTTCCATTTTTTTTCGAATTCAGTGCGAATGTGATACAGGCAAACTAAACTTCTTGATTTCGAACCTCCCGAACTCAAGAATCTCCCTGACTCAAAAATTTTCAGCCAGTTCAATAGTTTTCGAAATGGAAATGAGCAACTTTAATTGGTCCATGAATTCCTGGCTTGAGGTTTTGCCTCCTGTAGACTGATTTATTCTGCAGTTTCCTGCGGTTTGGCCATTCAATGCCCTTGGAATAATTGAGGAAATGTTGCAGCGAAAAGTTCAGCCCCAACTGGCTAATTTTTTTTTCTTTTTCACAGCGAACATTTTCAGACTTCGCTGATCTCAATAGCTCGAAGCTTCCCTTAGTCCGACTTTTGTTCTGTTTCCTTCGAATAGGACAGGTTCTACAGAATTACCTCAGAACCACCTCATGTGTGAAGCAAGATGCTAACATTACTGGAACTTGGTGATGACGAGATGATCTATAAATAGATCGAGAGAACTGTGACAGGGTTCAACCTTTCGTAAACACCTGACAAACGACGAGAGAAAAGAAAAAAATATTAATGATAATTACACTAATGAATGATGATGAAAAGCGAGAGGAAAGGTGGGTTTTTCTCCCGTAGTTATTATTGGTGAGGACCCAAGCAAGGCGAGGGATTAAAATTCGCCTCCGGTCGAGGAGGGATTTCCCCGCATATATACATATGCCCTTCTTATTCCTCGTCAGATGAGGCTTTTACCTAAATTTACTCCCGTCGTGTCGTGTGTCTTCTCTGGGTTTTACTCGTTAGCTGTACTCGGTCGGGGATGTGAGGATGTTGCACGTTCACGTGCGGAGCGAGGATGACGTGGTGGCCAGCGAGCCGGGCGACCCCGAGAACTGGATCCAGTTGCGGACTAGTTTCCCCAGGCACATTCTGGAGCACTTCAAGGTTCCCGTCACATTTATCCTTAAACGTGCATTATTTCACATGCATGCATGCATGCATACATACTGTACTCCAAACATACACCTTATTGTACTGTATATAAACTGTATTGCATAGTTGAACTTCAAGCTAGGGACCAGCAGACATGTTTTTTTTGCGGGAAAGGAGGAAGAATTTCTGGACATTGTATTAGGTTTTTATTACAGTAATTCCATGTTACAAGAAACTTTTAGGGACGTCATAAAAATTTATTACAAATAATTTATGACAAAAGATTTTCAAAATTATTGGCTGGGAACTTATTCTCTTTTTAAACTTGCGTGTATTCAAGATGCTCCTTTCTGGTTCTCAGGTGTTTTTTGGAAACAGATTTTCAACAAAAATGCAAGTATCAGTTACGAACATTCACAGTACTGTATATTCAAATAACAGTCAAACCCTATAGCTCTTTTTGTGAACTTAAAAAGCTTTTCTGAACCATTTGTGCAGAGATTTGTGAGTGGGTGTTCCAAAAAAAGCGTAGTTTTTAAGCATCATTACGGTTTTTCAAGCATTGAAACTCCAAACAAGTCCTGCGCCCCTTTTAACATCAGTTTTGCTGCATGGATTATTTTTTTCATCAACCCCCCCACCCCCCTCTTCTTAACCTAGGAAATAATCTTTGGAAGACAGGATGTTCAGGTGAAATGTGTGAAATCTTTTTGTTGATTCAACCTTCCATTTATGTCCCAAGAATCATTCAGTCTCATTTTGAATGGGAAATTTGAGGTTATGTCTGTCTTTATTACAAAAATCGTAGCATGTTTCTCAAAAGAGTTTATTACTGTACTGTACTGTACACTGAAATTTGAAAGTATTTTGTCACTAGATTGCTTCAATGTGTACCCTATAGGTTTCTGCCAGGACTTGAGAAAAAGTTTGTTATACAGTACTGAAAAATGTGTTGTAACAAGAATTTACTGCATTCTCGGTCTCAAATTGTTTCTTGGGGTGAGTTGGCAGGATGCTGAATGACATTTCCCAAATATTCTCACTTTCTTTAAAAAGGCATTAGGCTTTATCGTCAGTTATTTTTTCTTTCTCAAGTTAATAAAGTAGCAACTAAAGGGCTTCCAGAATATTTTAGTTATGGATTTTTTTTAGGGGGAAAGCCTTTGATATATAGGGAGGCTTTTAGTGCATTGTTTCCAGGGAATACAGATAGGGAGTTGAATAATTGAAATTATTGAGGTACTGTATTTGACTTGGGCCTATGTTAAAAAGGTGCAAGTGTGTTCCAATTTCGTGAGGGGGCAATGCCTTCCATTTTATTTTGTATGTTCATCCTTGTGCACGCTTGCCTTGGCATAGCATGGGTAAATTATATTCGACTGTAGTATGCAGGAAGACCTCGCCAAGTTGAACCCCCCGTTTTCGAATTTACAATTAATCCCTGGACAAATTCCTTCAAGTTCAAAGCAATGTAAATCTCCCCAAATAGGGACATTTTGGGTTGAACCTCTTTAGTTGAATTCCAGATGCCTTCACAATGTCGGAGAAAACCAAAGGCACACGGAAGTTATTTTCTTATGCTCTCTTCAGGGATAAAGCTTCTTTATTCCTGCAAATGGGGCACATATTTATCAAAAAAGTTGCTAGAAAACAATTCCTTTTAAATAACCTGCTATTCAAATGAAGTCGAAATCCCCTAATTGAAAAGTTGTATCCTATTCTGTCAAGTCGTTTCAAATCCGATACACAGTAGATCGGTCAAGTATACAGGCATATGCAGTACTGTGCTGTATTTGGGTCAAGAAAAAAAATAAGGGCAGACGTGTCCTTCGTGTGAAGGGAAGTGACGCATCATCCATGCAGCGGTGACATCTATGAGAGCCACGGAGGAAAAGTAACAATTCTTTCCTGTGAATTCAAGTTTCATGACAGTAATTTAAAAAATAAGAACTACTAGTTCAGCGGATCGCATAGCCTAAGACACATTCGGAAATGCTTTCATCGTTTTTTTCTATGATCTTCATCCCTGTTATGATGCCTCCACTTTTTTCTAATGCATACTTTGTCAATCACAATCAGCCTGGGTACAGCAGATCCACAGCTTTTATACGTCTGTGTCTGCGTCAAGGTGATGCGACCTCAATAAACCGCCACCCCCGTTAAACCGCAAGAATCATGCCAAAAAGTCTGTGGCGGTTTAACCCTAGGGCGGCGGTGGGTTTTTTTCCATTGCGTGGCAGTGCTGAGATTTGTTCGCTGACTCCTACATTTTTGTTTGTCCTAAGGTCATCATAACACAGATTTGGTTGAGCGGCCAAAGATGTGAAAAATCCCGGAAAAAAAATAAAGTCCTTGTCCTGCTAATCCCCCGATGCTAATCATATGGCAGGAATGCAGAAAAATGCCACCCCACATAAATATATTTTTTTCCTTTTTTCTCACAATTTTGTCTGTGGGATTCTAAAAAAAATCGGGATTTTCCTGACTTTGGCTCTTCTAACCATGTTTGTTCCCCCTTTTTTCTTTACTCCTTGGGGCACAACATTTTGCCGATAAATCCCAGCACTGCTGACCAAGGGTTAATGGGGTTTGACTGAAGTGAATTTTTAAATTTGTTACTAAAGTACATTGGTGGTTATGTCAATCAAGCTGAAGCATTAAATTATTTTACTTAAGTTATGCAGTATTTTTTCCTTCACAAGACAGGAGAAATAATTATTATTGTGGAAATCTGGATAAAATACCCATTTAAATCTGCAGGGACCATCAAGAAGTTGGACCGATTTTTGAATGGCAATAGATATATGGCTAGATATATGGCAATGAAAGGATCACCAAATGAAAGATTGGTTCAACAGGGTTTGACTGTAGTTCCAAGTGCCACAACATGGTTAAAAAAGCCATTGCAGAGATATTACAGTACTTGGCTAATATTGGGAAAATTGTATCATGGTTTGTGACAGATTACACCAGTGGTGCCCAACTCAGAAGTGACCAAGGGCCACATTGAAGTAGAAGACCATTATGTGGGCCACAATGGAAAAAAGGAAGAAATGTTGTCCAGTACATCATATAATTCATGGGATGGTTTAAATTTAAACTATTCTAATTTATAAGCAATCAAGTTCTAGTTTATAATCAAGTTCAATAAGTATTTCAAGATTCTTATCATCTGGCTATCTGACTTTTTTCATCTACAAACTTTTCTGCTTCATTTTTACTGATACAGTTCAACTTGTATCTTCATTACTTTATGACTGGATTTTTCTTAATGGAATCATAGAATTCAATCTGCAAAACATATCAAAAAGATTCAACCAAAGTCCAAAAGTAGTAAGTAACTGAAAATTATGAGTGAATTTAAATGTTGAGAATAATAATAATCAGCAGGTTGTCTGAGGACAACCTGAAATTTTAGTGCAATCAAAAACTCCTTATGATTCACTAAGAATCTGGAGAAAACCAGAATATAAGAGTATAAGAAAGAAACATATTTTGTGCAGAGTTGCTTTGGGAGAGCATCAAATTGTCTTTGTATCTAAATGTCCATGTCTCCAAGTGTCCCAGTCACTAAATCACCCTGGCTCAAATTGGCCCTCTGTCTCAAATTGGCCCTGTCTCACATTGACCCTGACTCAAATTTTCTATCTCAATTGGCCCAGTGTTGAATTGTCTTTCTAAATTTGTCCATATCCCTTCACATTTGCATTTTTCCATGATGGTCTACTTTTGTTCATGCTATTAAAAAAATTAAGCTGCTTTATATCTTTCCCTCATCAAGATATGCAATTAAATTAAAAACATGACAAAAAATGCTGGGGTAGGATTTGAATTAAAAAATTGCAAAACCCTGTCCTTTGATCTGAAAAACAGAATGACTGACATCACAAAGCAATGCAAACTGTTTTTTCTGGTTAGAACAAATCATAACAGAATTTATGAAGCCCTAATAAAATTCCTAATCAAAATTGCAGGCTGAAGATGTCTTGAAAAACTTGCAATTTTTCCTTTTTGAGGGTCTTAATTTTTTGTGCAGATTTTCCATGCTGGCACCGCGGGCCAGATGAAAAGCCTCCGCGTGACAGATCTGGCCCGCGGGCCGTATCTTGGGCACCCCTGGATTACACCATTATCTCAGCAGCTCTTGAAAAACACAAACATAAATGTGTTATAGCCTAATTAAAATCGAAACTGAGAATTAGAATCGCTGTTCGAGCTACTGTATCATTGTTATTTAAAATTATTTACTTATTTAATTAGTTTTCGAGCTGAGTAATACCCTCATTCATAATCCTTCTGCCTGAGTTGGACTTGATTTTATGGAGAAAACTTGCACTGGATTACAGCCTAATTACTGTACTACATACGGCATGATCTAGAGTTGCCAGCTGACGATTCTCAAAGACTAAGCGAAATCTTAATACCAGCACGGCACTTACTCGAGGATTCCAAGAATATGATATCCATTTCTTCGATACTGATTGAATCTACACTAAACATAAGTTTTAACTAAGCATGTCCCTGGATTTATAGGAGCAGTATACTATTCAACACGGCATGATGAAACCTGGCAGCTTGACGGTTTGACGCTGAGCCAGTTAAAATCATTGTAGTCACAGTAATTGATGGTGGTTCCAGCGTTGAAAAATTTTATCCCAGTATAAAACGTCGGGAATTTCCTGGTTCAAGGAACGGTTGGTTCCATGCCTTATACTGCGCACCTTGGGACAGAAAGTCACCACGTGGTGACGTATTGCAATACTATTTATCATTTATCGCATCCCTATTTTTTAATTGCTTCATAATCTCAATTCCTGTAAAATAACGGATGGATATTGGTTTTATTCAAGGAGACAAACGAGGGCCTGTTAGCAAAGGTACCAGAACCACGGGTTATTATTTTGAGTAAATTACCTAATCAAATCTTGGATACGCATATTCCAGTGATTTTTTGAATGTCAATGAGTTGAAAGAGTCTTCCTGGTTCACAGGTTAGTTCGCGATGGAATCTACACTTCGTAATCACAAAGGAATGTTGTTTTTGTGAGGAGTAATTTAATTTTGATGGATCTACGGTGCTTTGCTTGTTCTGAAAGGCATCGACTTCCTGGTTCACGTTGAACTCCTAAATTATGACATTCTTTATTGAGTAACGCCTCTATGCTTGAGCTATTTTAACAATTTTAATGTTTCCTAGACTACCGTACTTTGACTATGTTTTTCCACGAAAGGAACCCTGAATTGATGACTATTATGTAACGAATTGAATTGGCATACAGTATTTTTTTTTTCATAGACAGGACCGATTCGTGAGGGAACCTTGATCTTATCAACCGAAGCATTTTATTAACAGGATTAGATCATCTTGAAGATCAAATCCAATATTCCTCTTTTTAGTGACAGAAAAATATTTGATCGTGACTATGACATTGTCCTAAATTTATTTTATTCATTCGTCAAGACAAAATAAGGCTATCATTATTTTTCGGTCGGGGAAGTGCATGGGCTCAATTGATGAATGTTTAGACGCCAATCTGCTCTCCGTCCGGAAATGAGAGATTTTAGCCTTTTTACTCGGATGTACGATCAATCAAGGCCCGTATTAAAGTAGCTTTCTATTGCGGATATATGGTTAATATTGAGTAATTTTCATTTATCCAAAATCACGTTTAGATCATACAATACAGTACCGTACTCATTTTTTTGGATTTACTATCCGCCGAATTCTTTTCGGATGCTGCAGGAAGTGCTTTCTGCTTTTCTAGCTAATTACCAGAAAATAGCTAGAAAAGCTAGGGGTGTTCGCAAGAACCAATAAAATCAATACAAGTGTTACCAAATCTACACCAATTAAGAAGGGGAATTTTCGTGCTGACGAAGTTCAATATTCCTGTTGAGACGAAAATACCATAATTGAATGAGGAGCTCGTCTTCACCTATTTATTTGACACAGATTGTGTTAAATGTCCATGTTTTTGACCTTAACCCAATCCAATATTGCAAAAATCTTAAACTGAGTACACGTACATGTCAATACATGGATTGAAAGAAACACATCAGGGATGACTTGGCATAATCACTGAGACTCCCACTAAATTGAGCACTAGCCTGGTTAATTTAACCAATTCTGAGAATGAAGCAATTCAATTGGAAATTACCGTATTTACTCAAGTACCACGCACACCTTTTTTCTAGAAATTAAGGCAGAGAAAAATAGGGTGCGCGTGGTACTTCGGGATAAATTTTAGAGAAAAATTCCCAAAACCAGAGCCCTTCACATCCGAGTAAAAAATTGAACAGGAAAAGTGTGGCTCCAAGTCTCTTCCTGCATGGGGCATAATGGCTCAATTTGTTTCATCCCTTGGAGATGCAACAGGAAGTAAAAGAAGGGGGTAATGTTCATATAATTGAGGAAGCTGTCCTATATTGTAAATGAGTTTTAACTGCTTCTGTAGATGGAAAAAGACAGATAGAAAAAATATTGATGAGGAAAAATGAATTTAAACATAAAAAATTTTCACATTTCAACTTAATTTAAAATTTTTTTGATTTTCAGCAACAACAAAAAAAGGGTGCACGTCTTACACAGGGATAGGTTTTTGAACTAATTTCTGGTGGGAAAATGCGGGTGCGCGCTGTACTTGATGGCGCGTGGTACTTGAGTAAATATGGTAGCATTGTTTTTGGTTCATGCTCCCATTTTGTTCTGTCCAGCAACAGTTTAAAAGAATACGGCTAATTATTCCATGGTCAAAACTTGGGCTCAATTGAAAATTCAGCAGATACAGGTGAGTTTAAAATAATTTTTCAAGTATTTCTTGATGGCGATCTTGAAGCTTAAGTAATTTGAGGCATTATTTTTCCGAAACATTTAATTCCAGGCTAGAAAAAAAAAGCAACTGCTTATAGCACGAAGATACAAATATCCGACCACCAGGCTGATAAAATTCCTCACTTTTTAACACACTCAAAATTTCTTTGAAGAGTATACAAATATTTTCAGTAGCCTAATCCGTCCGTCCCAGGTTCCTGGAAAATTTTAAATGGTCTTAGAAAATAACCACTATACATGAGTCAAATTATATTTTTAGTAATTTGCATCATAGTAAATACAAAACTTGAAACGATGAAATAATGCCCAAAACTGCCGAAGAGGATTTCATACAAAATCGACTGGCCATCAGTACCTTATCCCCGAAATAGGGTTGATTTCTTATTAGTTTAAAAAAAAAGAAAAAAGTCAGTGGCAGGTTAGTGATGTTCGAGACGTCCAATAACCCTATTTTCCTGATGCTCGATCGGTAATTAAATTACGAAATGATGCGCAGGATGCAGCACCGGTTCCGCCGCGGATGATGCATGTCACGTTTGCATCGGGTGAGTTCGATGCGGAGTCTGGGGCGGAGCTGGTCGTGGACGCCCTGGATACACTGCGGATCGGCGCCCGTGCGAACGCCGAGTACGACAAAGACGACGCCGCCGTCGTCGACGACCATGTGCGAGTGTGGGCCACGAGCACGGGCCACTCGCCCACTGCGCATCGGCACGCCAAGCCGGCGAGGATCCTGTCGTCCGCCGACCTTCTCAAACTGCGGGACAAGTTCCTGGCCACGACGGACGAACCTGGCCCGCCGGCGACCGCGCAGCTGGGCCCCGAAAGGTTTCTTCTACCTGCCTTCTTACCACCGTCCTCTTTTTTTTTTTTTTTTTTTTTTTTTTTTGTTTTTTGTTTATTTNTTCTCCCGGCCTTCTTCCCCCCGTCCTCTTTTTTTTTTTTTTTTTTTTTTTTGAGGAATTGGGTGAATGGAGGAAATGATGTCTGAAATGCTGTGAACACGTCACCTCAATTTAGTGAATAGAGAAGCGTAGTGTATCCCATATTCAGATTGGTTGTCCAAAAATTCTGGAACGATTTTTGAAAAGAGAAAAGTGGGATCCTTGTCCAGCATTTGGGTTAATGGAGATCCAAGCGCTAAATAAAATTCTCAATTGCAATTTCATGCTCTTTGTATGATCATAATTGTGATATAAGTGGTTTATGTTGTAAATATAAATTGAAAGGTGTAAATTGAGATAAAATGCGATGGTTATAAGTACAGTACTTCACTTCTACATATGAATATGCTTGCCGCAAAGCCAAGATCCGAGTTCCAACCTCGCTCCAAGATTTTTCGACTGTTGATGCAGAATTAACGCCACTTCGGCAACTTTTAAAATTACTTGAAAATGTTAGCAATCGTATTTCAAGTATTTGGATGCATCCCACACAAATTACCCGTATAATTTAAAAGCGAGTCATAAAAGTTGATGACTTTTTCGAAGTGGCGACGATTTGTAAGACGTCAATCGATCTCTTAAGATGTTCTGACGAAGTGCTACTTTGGCTGAAGATCGCGAATTTTCAGGGCCAGACACGTTGTGCAAATAATGAAATAACAGCACTGTATATACTGTATAGTATTGTGTCGAAAGAGTCAGTGGCTCTTGAGCTTCAACAATGGATACATTGTGCTGACGCTGCTCTGCTCTATTTTTACATCGTCGTTCTGCTTGATTTTCTCTTCTAACAACGTGGTTATACGTGTTTTCTGGCACAGGTCGTTTCTTTTGACGAGCTCACGTATAATGTCCCTCCGCGAAAACACGCTAAAAAAAATCCCAATTTCCGGCTGCTTTCTCTAGCGAGTGTTTCCCCCAGCAAAAGGAAAAAATACCGTAATGATGATGTCCCTGCTCCACTTTGCGTTGAGAATGTTGTTATGCTTGACTCCTACTACAATGTGTGTACTGGCGTCCAGACAGTCGGAAGAAGTAACGAACGCTAATCGCGATGGCGGCGGAGGAGCGTCTCCGTCGGTGTCGAAATTCCACGCCGAGCTTGACGACATGAGGAGAGTCTTTTCCGTCAGAAATCTCGACACCGACGTCGGGATCGTGTCGCAAATGAGCCCTGCTATCCGGCGGCGTGTCGACATGATTGAGAGCGAGTTGTGCCAAGGACAGTTCGGCCCGCTCGTTCACGTCGAGCCTGACGCCAAGGTGAAATCCCAATTACAGAATCTACATCAGTGTTTCCCCCGACCTTTTTGGTCCCGCCGACCCGAAAGTTTCCGAAACATTTTCCGAGGACCAGCAAATTTTCATAAAATGTTCCCATGCTCAAAAAGTGTTGCTTGAAAGACAGCCTGAATGGCAGGTATTTGAAAAGCTTTTGCTTCTTTTGAAAAATTAATTCAGGATCCAATGAAGCAGATATAGTGGAATGTCTCAAAAAAATGGAAAAGTGAGCATGAAGAATGGTTTTCCTGACTCAAAAATTTAAATAATTCATTAAATCAGGTTAAAATTTGTCAAGTATTGTTAGGAGAAGAGCGGAGATATATTTTTCATGAGATAATTTAGACTGCTATTGTCATGACAAAATTAAAAATAGTATTGTACTGTAATGTCCTTCATTTTTTTACTTCTGAAAAATTCATCAGCCTGGAGAAATTTCCCGCAGACCGGCAACAAATTTCTGCGGACTGGTACCGGTCCTTGGACCACGGGTGGGGAAAAATGATCGACATAGCCCATACACTACTTTCAAATTACTGTGTGTTCATTCTGTGACATGTTCGGTTCCTTCCACCATTTTTACGTGGGGAACCTTGGAAAAAGGGTTCATTTTGGTTTAAAATTGAGATTCACTTCAACTTCCGACGTCCAAAGATTACGAAAGAATACTCTGTTCAGTCTTTTCAACTCTCTTAAATGAGTGTCCGGAAATGGCTGTCCAATTCAGATGTGGTGCGGCTAAGGGCCACATTTAAGAGATGCAGAGTCCTTTTTGGCCACACTTGACAATAATTCGAACACTCCTGCAACACAGGCTTCGAAAAAATAAAAAATTCCATAAAATATGAAAATTTGTGTTGAAGAGAGGAACTGGACAAAGGATTAGCTTGTCACCAATAATGCTGCTTTAAGTACCAGCACGCAACCTTTCCTTTATGAGTAAGATGACACACACCCTAGTTTACACTCATGGATGTTCATGAAATCTTATCCCTCAGACACATGAGTACGACGCGCCGCCATTTTTGTTGACCTACGAAGTACGGTGATATTTCCGGAATTAGAAAAAACCGGATTGACATTTGAACATTAATTCAGCCTGAATTCAATTATTTTTCAATTACGATTCAGCATTTTGAAAATTCCTGAAAAATTCCCAATTATATTTGTGTGACGCGCACGAAAACTCCAAATATTCTTTTATGGTTTTGCTGCCTATATGACACTCACCGCTCTTTTCTCCTCTGAATTTCAATTTAAAAAGGTGTGTGCGGTACTAATAAAGTAAAAACGGTTGATTTTGAAGATTCTTATGAAGAGCAGAAAGGCCGTTGCATTTTTATTTTGTCAATCTGTTCTTATCTTTATTGAGTTTCTCATCATCCTCACGTGGACTGATTTCAATCCTTTTGCCATTCAATCATCCTCTGTTAATTTACTTGTTGAAAATCCCAGGAATTCATCGTCATTTATTCATAGGATTGTGGGAAATTTCTCAATGGCACACTTTTTTGAAAAGCTGCAGATTTTCCTTTTTTAAATTAAAAAATTAACTTCGTTATATTTATTGAATCAAAAACTTAACCTTTCAGAATTGTTGCCGGGTACGTGGAGCAACAAATTCTAAAATGTGCTGCTCATCTACCATGATATTTAAGAAATCCATCATTGATATCCATTGTGCATAGTGGCTGTTGCCACCTTGATAATTGTAAAGCGAATACTTCAGGATGGATGAAAAATTTATGTGGACTGGATCTGCCCGTGGGCCATATGATGGGCAGCGCTGGTCGAAACAATAATTCTGAATTTTCATCTAAAGAAAAAATACAGAAAAGGGATCCGGGAAAAATAACTTTTTCCAGACAGTTTTTATTGCATTGAATTATTAATGTATCTCAAGATGCGGGTTTTCGTCCCTTCCTTTCCCAGTACTGTATATGATGCTTTCCAAATTAAAGAATAGAAACAAAATGTGTCGTTGCCCGAATTACAGCCAGGATTTTCCCTGATTTTGTTTTTTGCTCCTGCCAGTATTCCTTTACCTTTTCTCGGTGAACATTCCAGACCCTTGTGTCCACAAGGAGTAGATGAAATTAATTCGCGTTTATGAGTTTAGTACAGCTAGTGAGTCTCAGCTGTCTCTCTGAAAATGATACGTGCGTCGATGGAATTATCTCTTCCGAGTTTTTTGCAACTTAACTGGTACTGTATTTTCTAACGTTTATCCGCAAGAGGATCCTCTGGCTTTACTAGCTCAAGATAATACTGACAGCCGAATGAATATTCTTTTCCTGTGATTCTTTACTACGTCCAAATGTTCTTTTCAAACCACCTACTTTCGCCTTCGAACAACTTTCGGCAGTTCTAATTTGGCCACTGCAACCTTCTGCGACTGCCCTTAAACACAATGTCTGTGTTGAGCCAGCGACATGTTGGTTGCTCAAATGGCTCTCGGCTTACCGAAGAGGTGCTTCGAACGAAAAAAGTGTGAGTTCATATGCTGTAGAACTACATTTGAAGGGAGGCACAAACACGGCGAGATCGTTTCGCACAACATCCATTATTGCTGACTTTCTTTTTCCGAGTTTCCCTCCAAAAATATGCTTGAAAAATGTACGCAGTTTTTCTCGCAGTGGGAGCAATTTTGAGGAATATGCACACCTGAAGAACACCAAAAAGAGCAAACCGTTTGCTTCGGGCTTCGTTTGTTGGTGTCGCCAAGAATACAAGCATAAGGTTCCCACCAGCTTGGCCCCCGGCAGCATGAACGTCGACAGCAGTTTTGACTACTTGCTCAACACGAACCTGCTCGACTCCAATGACAACAAGGCTGACAGGTTTGTAAGAGTGACTTGATTGCACTGAAAGCATGCAGTATAGTCCAAGTGGTTGGAACTCATTACAGGCAGTGGTAATGTACATGCTGGACACCTTTACAGGTGGTAGGCCTCTAAATACAGGATATGATACAGGAGGTACCTTGCAATTCAATCTCCTGCAATTCATCTGTCCCAAAATTTGACATGATTCAGCCACTCTTCCAGTGTTTTTGTGCTGTTCTTCCTTAATATTACATGGTGCTTTGCAATTCAATCATTTTTCAATTTGACCCTAGTCCAGCAAAAAATCAGCGTTGAACTGTGGGGAAAAAACTGCATAATTAATGTGTAATACAGATGGTGCACTCTCCACAACGAAATTCAAGGGACCAGAAGAAAGTTTGTTCTAGAGAACACACAACATGGGGAGATAACCCTAACAAAAAATGTGTCATACAGAGAAGATCACAGTAGGAAGAGTCCACCTGTATTTCTTGGGATTTCCTGTTGTACACATTTTCTTCAGAACATGTCAGAAAAGTAGGGTGTCCATGGTACTTGGGTGTTAGCCATCTAAGTAAAAGAGGATACAGGGTTTAAATCAATGAACATGTGTCATACAGAATTCATTGCGGTCAGAAAGAAAGGGGGAAAGAACTCTTACTTTAAAAGCAAACCCTCTGTCAAAGAGCAATAATCATCCAAAAATCTTCATTCAGTAAGGACAATTCCGATTTTTGACCAGAATAAACTGGGATGCATGGCTTAATCAAGCAGGGCAGGAATTGGAAAATTTTACGCAAATAAATGTGTATGTATGCCTCACTTGAGGGCGTGAATATGGTATAAAATGTTCAAGAGAAACATGCTACCCACGTAGAAAATAACTTGAGCGCTTCCCAGCAAATAATTTTGCCATTGCAACCTGCGTTGCAGCTCCATTG